GGTTTAGGGTTTAGGGTGCAGTAACCCTAAGACTCAAAATAGCCCAGAAGCTTTACATTATGACTATGAGTCCTTAGAGTTCGGATAAGGGTTGGAAAAACGAAGCTTATGTCCTAAAACCAGAACCTACGCAGTGGCTAGTGGCTAGAGTTTACGGTCTAGGGAGGGGCTATAATCCGAATGATTCCTCGCGTTTTCTGGAGGAATCTTCTACACAAGCATGTACTGTCCCCGTACGTAAAAGTTAGGTCCCCTACGCAACTCAAAACCTACAACCCTTCTTACAGGACTTCAGATAAAACATCTCAAGCGTGACCTATTATATGTATTCTTGTATCACTAAAGGTCTCGGTCATTGCGGCTGATTGTTGCCCCCCTATAATAATCCGTATAAAATCTCCGTACATTCTCCATCTACACCCCTATAATGGTACCTANNTCCCCCCCCCCCCCCCCTCCCTCCCGCTTAAGCCCCACGAATAATGATATTGTTATTCCTACTAGTATTACTACTATTAATTATTATAAAGTACTACTAGATAATAATAGCAATAGTAGATATAATACTAACAATACTAATAATCAAGCACCAGTATGTCATTGAGGCTGATTGTTGTGACCCCAAACCCTAAACCCTNNCCTAAACCCTAAACCCCCAACCTTGTGGTGGTACTCTGCAAGACTTTCATTCGGGCGGCATCGTTCTTGGCCTGCCGAAAAGGGAGCGGGAGCTTCCGAAGGGGTCTGCGCTGTGGGATTCAGGGACTTAGGAATGGGAAGGGTCTAGGGTTTAGGGTTCAGGGTTTAGGTTTGGAGTGAATGTGGTTATTAGGCTTTAGACGAGTTTAGGGTTCAGGGATTTTTTTGATTTAGGACCTACAGTTTGGACTCTAAGATCTAGCGGCAGCACTATGCTTCGGATGTCTGCTAAAAGTCCCAGTCCTCAGTCTTGCCCTAACAGTTGGGGACTATGCGATGTTGGTTCAAAGCACAATAGATGGCCAACCAACACCATGACCACTTTGCAGAAGCGGAGCGCGCACCACTCCACGAGCAAAAACCACCTCGTACTCTTTAACTGTATTCCGAAATTCCGTCTTCTAATGCTGACAATGGGAGTCTAGTGTCCCGATGGCCATATTGCCTTGCACACCCTTTGGTTTTCGCAGCAGGTTGTTTAAGACGACTTGGATGGTGTAGGTAGACCAGGATCCAGGTGTAGCTGGCCCGCAGAGGGCGACCGGGGTGATTTCGGACATATTCGACTCGGAAAGATCCTCGCTGCTGGGGCGAGCGAACCGATCGAGCATGATGCCGCTTAGACCTTCTTGGTCTGTGCCGTGTGCCACGACATAGGAATACACTGAGCCTCTGGGCTCATCCGGTCTTTGCGTCAAAGCCAGAGGTTTTTTAGGGTTGAGATTTTAGGGTTCAAAGTTAAAAGTCTACTTCGAGGCTCATGGGGACTTAGTAAGTAGGTTACTAGTTAGGATAACTAGGGTTGCTACATGGGTTATAGTTTTTTTAACCTACTTACTAAGTCCAACTGACCCTCCAAGTAGGGTGTTGTAGGACTAAAGGGTTGGGTTTGGGGTTAGCTTATAGTTAAGGCAAAGATGAGGTGCCCTAAGCCTAAAACCCTAAACCCTAAACCCTAAGACCCCCAAACCCTAAACCCTCAACCCTCAACCCTAAAACCCTCAACCCTAAAACCCTAAACTCTAAACGTAAAGTTGCAGTCGGTCATCACCGCGGTTATCCTGCTCATCTCTTGAGTTTTACTGCACAAGAGGCGTTTAGGGTTGCGCTCAAAGTAGGCCCTGATCAATCCTTACCCATGTGGGCTATAGTCTAATCTCCTGGTATCCCCTTAATAAGCCCTGTAATACTCCCGTATAGAATCGCTTTTATAAACCCTAAACCCCCTTTTAAAGAGTTTAGACTACTGACTACAGCTCATGTGGGCCTTTCGAGGTGCGCCGTGCTACAGTTTTAGACTTCGAGTCTACGGTTTAGGGTTTGGGGTTGAGGGTTTAGGGTTTAGGGTTGGGAACTGCCCCCGCCCACTGACAGTCTATACCATGGGTCATACTACTGGCATCATGTACGCATATTATAAATGCAATCCAACTGTTTCTGAGTGGAGGCAGTATGCAAGTTTGGGGTTTCGGTAGACAACCTGGGTTTGCAAATGTGGCTAAGGAAGTTAGGAAGCTTAGTACCTCTGTCCTGAGCCACAACCTGTATGCGGTTGGGCGCTGGGGTCGCTGGGGGACCGATTCAAAGCTTCAGCACTCATATGCGCGGCTGAAAAGCTTGTGTCCGAAGTAAACCCGCTAGCTTCCTCATCGGGGCTGCAGACCTTTTGATGGTTTAGGGTTCAGGGTTTCCCAAGAACAAGAAACACCACGAGCAGCGTCAGCATTTTTCAGCAAGCGAAACCAGAGTAGTCATGACGACGCAATGGTACGGCACTAATCAAGGGAGCAAATAAACTATCATTTCGAGATGGCCAGCATCAAATTCAACAGTCTCGATGTCAAGCATCAGAATCAAGCAAAAACACCAAACACCTAACCCTGCACAACAACAAGCAAGTCACCGCAGCTACCAGTGCAGGTCCCTACCAAAATCTTCAGCAGCTGTGCCCTACATAACTGCTGATGAGCACATAGTGTTCGAATTCACAACTCAAGGGCTAGTGCTTCTACGAAGTACGGCCATTAGCTTAACGGAACAAGGACTTCAGTATGGCTGCGCAATGCTGCGCATGCAGCCAACTCCGCAGGTAGCCTGCAGCATCCCAGGACCACCAAAGTCTTGGATTGCAATCTGGGTCTTTCCCACACCCTGAATAACTCCTGTAGTACTCCCCATAAGATAATCCCTCATATAGCCTCCTTTAAGGAATTTAAACAATGGCTATGGCTCATAGAGACTACCCCTACTACGGACGCCAGGGATATCTTGAGGTGCTATACACTGACCACAGCACATGATTCTGATGCATGATGCGAAGATTTTGCAAGGAACTTCTACAACCCTAGACCCTAAATCCTGCAGCACACGTGGATCGCGGCACCTTGATCAGCCAAGCGCTATAACAGCCTTTGCCTCCGCCGGAAATGGCTTAAGATTTGTTTGTTTGGGGTTTTTAGGGTTTAGGGGCCCTTCCTGCACCCACGGATATGCGGGGTTACATTGGGATTAGTGGATTCCTGTTGGGGATCATACAAGGTATACGAGAACTTGAGTTAAAAGCTATAGGATTCTCGGTCGAGGCCAAGGTTCGTCTGGGTTGAGGGTTGAAGTCTATGAACGGCTTAGGTTAATGCAACTCAAGAAGCTAATTCTGGAATATTTCTTTTGGGGTGGTGGGTGGCAAGAAATGTACGGGCTCTAAACAACCCTAAACCCTAAATCAATTTGTCTAGTCCAAACCGCATAGAACCCACACACAATGCTTGTTTCCTGTTCTCATCCTACAGTGTGTAAAGAAAATCTTGCACTGCTTAGGAAGCCATAACGCTGTAGTGCGCAGCGTATAGGTTTACAGTTTAAGGCTTAAGGGTTTAGGGTTTAGGCTAGCTGGCGTGGTGCAAGATTTCCTCCATCCGCAACGGCCCAACAAAAGGCACATCAGCGTCCTACGATTCGCTCCTTAGCAAAATACCCTGAGGGTCAGAACACAACATTTGCTCTGCCAGTTGGCAGCAGAACCCCGGGACTCAATTATGAGTTTGATTGCGCTTTCGCCGTATAATGGCACGCACAACTTTTCCATTATGGCTTGAGTGCTCAGATGATGGTAAGGAAATCCTCAGCCGCAAGCCCTAAACCCTGAAACTGACAACCGCACTTGGGCTCCAGCGAGCCACTCGCGCATCTTCTACACGAGGTGATTCCTCGGAAGCGCCAGGCTCTTGTAGCGAGTACTCGGGATTTTGGGAAGGTCAGATACAGTTCTTACAAGGTTTTGTTTTGCAGCGGTTCAAAGTTTAGGGTTTGCTCTTCTGGAAGCCTTTGTGCCACCTAGGGTGCAAACCTTGCACCGTCTCGGCCTTAGGCTTACTGGTCTCTATGTACCTGTTACTTGCAGTTGAATGTTCAAAGCGGATGAGGGGGAGTATCAAAGCCTAAGCAAGGATAGTTGCAAGTTTAGATTCTTCATTAGCCTAGCCAAAGCCGGACCATGACATAGCAATTCGAATGTAATCTTTCCCGTCATCATTCTTGAAGTTAATGCGACTTGAATAAATCCTCGAAGCATGGACTTCAGTGCATCTTAAGCCCTCGCATTACCTTCCCCCTTTTGGTATACAAAAACGAACGTAGGCCTTCCAGGGAAGAACATTTTCAAGCCACATATAATCACCGGGACTATATAGAAAGTTTTAAACCTGAAGCTGTCCTTTTTTCGGGCCTTCTTGGGCACGCCCTTTAAACTGGTTCGCGCGCTTGCGCTTTCCAACGACTGAATGTATAGTCCCCCTCAAGTAGATAGAATATGGAGTATATATGGGGATCCTATTATACTATACCCAAAGCCAAATCCTATCGACTTAAGGGGGACTATAAGCAGATGCTTTCCCAGTACCTGAATAGGATGTAGTATGTGCGCACATGGACTCCTATGTAGGTCCGTTGGGCTGATCTCATGTGAGCCATCTAAATTCCATTTTTTCTACCTTGATTGCCCCTATAATAGTTCCCTATATAATCCCCTAGATAACCCCCACTTTAAGAAGCTTAGACTCTAGCTCATGTATAGTTTATGTACTCGGACCCTCATGGTGTAATTTAGTTCCTTGGGGTCTTTTAGTTTGATGAGGCCCGTCGCAACACCTAGCGGACCTGGTCTTCAATCTCCATTTATATCATTGAGACTCCTTTCGTACACCCCGAGATAAAGTATTCTCCCACAAGGGATTCCACGTGTTGGGGGGAACTGAAATATCAGTGGTCGGCGGGCTAATCGCAGGCTTCACACCCGCAGAACCACAGCAATCCCAGGAAGACCCTGACGAGGTGTCCAGAGTAAGCATAACAGTAATGTGAAAGTCATGAAACCAGAAATGGGACCATAGTACGGATAGCGACAAGCAAAAAACGTCCGCAATTACAGCACGCCCCTTCAACTACGGTGGATACTAAAAAATCTGCATGACCCTAAATACCCTCTAGTATACTAAGCCCTAGGGCTCCAGTTACCTAAATAATGGGAACTGGGTTCTATATACCCTATAGTTACATAGCCCAGTAACCTACTATTTAGGTAACTGGGAGCCCTAAGGAAGGTCATGCAGGATTTTTAGTATCAACAGTACTAAGACCCCAGCCTGAGGGTACACTTCACATGCAATAACTTGATGCCGTGGTCCAACCCACATACAAACAACCATCTTTAGGGTTTAGGGTTTAGGGACAGAGAACTCTGCAAACCTAAGCGAACAGGATGCTAGACACAAAGCCCGTTAAAGGACCACACGCAAGATGGCAAATAAAGGAGGAACTCCATACCCTGACGAAACCCACCCTGGCTACACTAAGAGCCTCTACATTTAGGGCTCTGAGTCTAGTAAGGGTATGCGAAGCTACCGCTTTCAGGGTACCATCAGGAAGGATTGTAGTATTTTGGAGTCCCCTATTTGTAGGAAATACCATCTCCAGCTAGGGATTGCGGAAACCCTGCGAACCCCTGGACCCCAAGCCAGGGCCTTCACTAGGAATCCCTCCTCCAAAGGAGGGGCTTGGCTAACATCCAACATGAAGAATCCTGAGCTAAGGGCTTATAGGGATTGGGGCTTAAAAGGTCCACGCGGTTTAGGGTTTATTGGGTTTACACGGTATTAGGCTAAGGACATCAAGGGGTTCATGACCAGGGGATCTTGAGGGACTCTAGGGACATGTCAATGTATAGAGGTCAGAATTAGCTGTAGGGGGGCTTTGATTGGCATTATACAAAGGCGATTTTGAAAAACAGGCGCTTCAATCTTCCCATCTGCCACTGCTGATTATCCCCCGAATCAGGTGGCGGCGCTACAGTAAGGATCATAAGGGATAATTAAGGACTTCCTGTATTCCCTCGGGCTTGGTTGTTCTTGTACGATTATATGTTTAACAGAGCTTGTACAATTGAACTGACGATTTTGAAAAGAGCTTGCACGATTGAACTGACAAAACCGCTGAGTTCTGTAATTTATGTGGTTTGATGGAGAGAGTTTGCAATGAAAATTGTATGAGACCTGCGCTCTAAACCAACTTTAGCCAAAGTAAGATCTCCTTCATTTCCTCTAGCTTTTTTTGTTTTCCTTAGTTCTATCGGATGGCAGCTAAATAGTCTTTACGATGAAAGCTCCCATTTTTTAATCGGGAGGACAGCGGTTACTTGGTGCTTAGTAAGGATTGAAGGTATGGACCTGCTCTAGCCCCCCCCCTCCCCCCTCCCCCGATTTGATGTTCCATGCTTACCCAGACCCCCTAAAGGATCCAAAAAATGGACCCCCCCCCAATATGAACCCATTACTACACTGGGGAATTCGGGGATTATTACGGGGTTCCATTTTTTCGGAATAGGATAATGAGGAACCCTAGACTCTTATCGTCCCCCTTAAGTAGATAGAACATGGCTTTGGGTATATCACAATAAGATCCCCATATACCCCATATTCTATCTACTTACGGGGCTGTAATCCCAAGGTGACGGAGGAATTTTTTGCACCCAGAAGCTCCCGAAGCTACCGTGCTTTCAAGTTTTTCTGGTAGCGTGGTTTAAGGTTTTGGGGGCTCAGAGCTTTAGGGATGTATAGTCCCCCTTACGTAGATAGCACATGGGGTAGGAGGGAATTTTATTATAATATACCCAAAGCCATATTCTATCTACCTAAGGGGGACTATAGGGGTTAAGGGGTTACGATTTACGGGTTAATGTCTTCTATCCACTTGGGCAGAGTGAAACATTGCTGGTGCTTAAGGGGAGTAGGGAACTGAATGTGGGTAATTTAGTAGGGTCTATGTAGGGGTACGTTGAAGCATCCCAGAACCCTAAACCTAAACCTTAAATCGTAATTAGGGCCGAGGGGTAGGAGTACGTTCAGCCATTCACTCCCCGCTTCAACTGGTTTAGGATTTAAGGTTCCAGACCTGAAGGGTTGTCAGAATTATGGTCCGCTTGGTCTATCCTACCCATTCAGAGTTCGATTAGAGCGAGGGCGCCAAAGCAACCCCCCCATTTTGACGCTGAGGCTTGCGGATTGATAGTTGTTTAGTGTTTAGGGCTTGGGATTTCGGGGTTTAGGCGTGTAGGGGTCAGGGTGTAGGGGTTTAGGGTTTAAGTTGGTTACCCAAAGTTTTGTGTGTTGTGGACTTCACCAAACTTGTGAAAAGGGCAGGTCTTGCTGTAAATCTTCTATCATGGGTTCCCTTACTATCCCCCCTATTCCCCCCCGGGCTCCCCCCTTAGTTAATGTTATTTAGGGAGAGTTGGGCCTTATGAAGATGAATCAAGGGGGAACCTAGGGCGGGCAGAAGGGGAACCCATGTTCATATGTTGTGGTTATGCTTGCGCCAGTCACAACATGTGAAAAGCCTGGATGTGTCGGGCTTATCGAAACAGAATGTATGCGACGTACTCCGTACAGTCTTTTTCTCAGGATTCCTTACTCGTTTTGAGGCTATTCTACAAGCCTGACAATGGGCCATAGTGTTCCGTTGTAACCCTATTCTGACATAGCTACAATCTAAAATAACACAGAAACCTGAACTCCAAATTGAAACTGTGTCTCTGTGCTCATTTGGACTCCTACATTAAGCCCTCAGCCCCAAAGCAGGTGCTGAACAGCACTCTACGCGGTAAAGGTTTTATATCATCCCTCCCTTCATACACCCCCCGCGCCCCCTCACATCCCATCCTAATCATGAGCATTCCAACTGTGTAATTTGATGGTAGTATATTGGCGGGAAAGTTGATTCAAAGCCCCGGGGGGGGGGGTGGTATTCTTAGGGGAGGGGATTAATGATAGAGGCTTTGAGATGTATCATACTATAGCAATATGCGGATAAGGGGAATACTACGAATCACACTTTCCAGGTCTGTACTCGAATTACCCTGTGAG